AGGAATGTTTGCTGCAATCGCTCTCACTTTACATTTGAGAACAACGAGGGTGTTTTGCTGCATGATGGTCTGAACTACAGACTATAAGAGATCTTAATGCAAACACACATATGGCCATATGGCATGAACACTCCCATTTTGACACAAACATACAGGTAGCCAGTCAATCACATACAGACAGATGTACACAGCTTTGAATATCTTCTATGGGCAAATCCCAGTTCCCTTATTTAATCATTCCTCACTCCTCTTCAACCCTGAAGTTGTTCTGGTCTGCCGTCTTGAAGGATGTCCCAAAGCTCTTAATCATGTGCTGAGGAGCGAGAAGGTTGCTTAGAGGAGACATGAGCAAGGATACACCAGAACATCCTTCACAGGAACCCTTTATGGACCAACACAGCCCTTTATCAGAAAATCAGTTGGTGATTGGATCCTTCAGATGAAGGATCAGAGGAAAGAGCATCTCATGTCTCTCAAAAAGTGCTTCCTTATTCCCTCTGTCCTTATATCTTTTCCTTACACCCTATGTGGGAGGGACTAAGAAGCAAGGAAACGACAAGTGAGGGAAAAGTTGGCCCACATAAGATACTTGGGATGTATCCAGAGAAACATGGATGCAAATAAAGGAATTGGGATTTACCCTATGCTGCCAAAGCAAACAGTCACTGCTGGGTGCTGCAAATTGCCTGTCCTCCCTACCATGCTGCTGTCAGAGGAATCAACAAGTGCTTTCCTGATGTACATGTTATCTCAGCTGGGTTACTCCTCTGGCAAATGCACTGAAGCAGAAAAAGGAGTGGAAGAAGTGTGGGAGATAAATTAGTTTGCAGGAGGAGCTTGGCTGAGCTGGATAGCTGACTGGAGGCTTGCAGACATTTTGTAGAAAGTATAGTGACCACATGCAGCTGCATTGTACTGAGTTGAATGCTTTCTTTACTATGTAATTATGGCACACCTCAAACTCACCAGGTGCATGGCTTTAATACATACAAAGACAAATGGAGACAGCAGCGCTCAACAATAATGGTTAACAATACTACCTGTGAATGTCTGTCTAACATAAGTCACATATATTATAAACTATATAACTTGCTTTAAACAAAATGGAAAGTGCAAAAATATTGTTAGTGCCAAAATAGTTACATACTTTTAAGTTTTACCTTTAAGTTGAAGTACAATCCCTCAGTGAATGCAGACAACTGGACACAGTTTACAAGTAAATGACGAAAAGTAAAAATAAAAGTGTTTTTAGAAGTCTGCATATGTGTTTTGTTTCACAGCTACAGTTTAACTACTGCACAAATTGTACTGCATTCCAAATTTATGGACTTCATTATATATTTAAGAGTGTGTATGATTTAGGATATCCAGTGAGCTTCCAGCACTGACTGAAGGACAACTCTTATGCAAACGGTCACTTCCCCTTTCTTATAATACTGATGATACTTCTGTGTTTTAATGTGTTTGTCTGTATTATTTTCCTGAGATGTGAATATTAATAACCTTATTTATGACTGTTGACATGATTCTTACTTTGCCAGTGCCACAAAAGTGACTCAGCTATGCAGCCTACAGCTCTAAACATGTCAGGACGACTTCAGTCAAATCCACTTTACAATACAGGACCTTCTGCACTCTCTGAAATATAAGATTTTGTTTCTGGTGAGTATGTGCAAGTGTGTATGTGTGTGTGTTCAGAGCCAGGTCTCAGCTTTGTCCTCACTGCTGAATACGAGGCGAGGCCACAGGGGGACCATCAGACCTGAGTGAAAACAGACATTTTTAAAAGGAACACTCCAGTCTCACACACAATCCAGTTTCTGTATTTTGTCATCATACACATAACCCCACAGTCTGTGTTGTGTTTTGTATTTTTGCAAGTATGTTATGAATATAATGTTTAATGACAGAATAAAACCAAACCAAATCACAGCCACACTCACTCATTATGGTAAAACTAGGAACAGAATCCACAAGCCACTACATGAACGTCTCTTTGGCCTCTGCCCTTTTTTTCCCCACAGTCCTGTGGGAGTGAAAACAGTCATTGGAAGGGTGTGTGAGCTTGATCAGCAAGACTGGCCAGTAAGTAGGCTAACCTATTACTCACACTACAAGTTTACACAAAGTACAGCAACATGCTCTCACAATGTGAATTCTCTCAAGTTATATATTTAAATACAAGCGGTAACCTGGCTCTACTTGTTTTGCATGTAGAACTAAGTGAAGGATGAAGCTGAGGGCACAAAAATCAAACAAAAAGCTGTGCAGCCATGTAGGCTATTGTGATGTCAGTTAAGAGAAATGGGGAAACAACAGGCTGTTTCTTAAACTAGAGTCGATCTGCACTTCTGTTATTTTACCGTCAGTCTCACACTGTCTGCTGTCCACAGCATGCATGCGCCACACCAACACATTATACTAATTGGAGCCACATGCACACATACCAACTCACATTTCAGGATAGTCCATGTTTATATTTACAAATCTGTGCCTGATTTTTCCCTCCACAAAAGTCTTCACTACTAATACTACAGATGCTATACGATTAGCCTTGTTCTGCTAGTGTCACTACTATCACTACAAGTGCTCTGCCAGTGCATGCACATACATTGCCACATGGATCCTCACTCACAGCTGTGCATACACAAATACCTCACCCCAGCTACATGGACACCACCAAGCATATGTTTATGCAGGTCTAGTAGCCAGCTGCTGTAAGGAACTCACATTCCCGCCTACCAACGTGATTGAGTAGTTAGCTCACTACAGAAGTATGTATAGATAAAGGTAAGGTAAATAGCTGGCTCTTTAGCTGCAAAATGTTCTATTCTGTTCACGAACTAGTCTGGGACTGTTTCTGCCTGCCATTTGGAGATGAGTAGGTAGTGTACATGCATTTTCTCTGAAAACAGCTGCTTGCTGTGGCCAAAAATGATTCTACAGAGTATATAACAGTAACTGAGCAGGCCAGGCAGCCAACACTGAGCTAAATCTCACAATAACACCTGTGGAAACTGTAGATTCATTCACTACAAATGACCCCTTTCACACTGGCACATTGTTTTCAAATTGTTATTCATAGAAAAATATTGTTTATAGCTGCTTTAAAAATGCACTGAGAAAAAAATCCTCTTTAAACCAATATTCTAGGTGTTCATTGCCCTGCTGGCTTGTCTCCTTAATTATGCATTCACAATGCCATTGTGTGCCAGAGTGTAAAACTATCCCACTCAACTTGGTTTAATCAGACACCAGTACCCATCTACACACAAGCATACACAGTTACCAGGAGTGAAATAGTTTATTCTCTTGCTTGTACAAGGGATGGCACGCACACACACACAAACACACACACACGTACATATACATATATACATATATATATATATATAGATATGCTGTTCTGCATAGGCCTGAACCCCCTCAGCCAGATCATCACCAAGAGCAGTTACAGATACCGACTATGGAATGGAGCAACCATCAGCCACCTCCTCTACATGGATGACATCAAGCTGTATGCCAGGAGTGAACGAGACATTGCCTCACTGATCCACACCACTAGGATCTACAGCCAGGACATCGGAATGTCATTCGGACTAGATTAAGTGTGGTCAAATGGTAACAAGGACAGGGAAGGTAGTCAGAACTGAGGGGATTTACTACCAGAAGGCAACACAGCGGATGTTGAGGACAGCTACAAGTACCTTGGGATCCCGCAGGCAAATGGGAACCACGAAGAGGCAAGGAAAGGAAAGCAGCAACCACCAAGTGCCTGCAGAGAGTAAGGCAAGTCCTGAGAAGTCAGCTGAATGGAAAGAACAAAGTCCGGGCAATTAACACCTATGTCCTGCTGGCCATCAGGTACCCTGCTGGCATAATAACCTGGCCAAAGGAGATAAAGGCCTTACAATGCACGGCGGGTTTCAGCATCCTGCGACTGTACACTAAGGCCGAGGATTAGTGAGCGTCAGAGCCACTATCCAGGATGAAACAACAAAGATCCATGAATACATCAGGAAGATGGCCCCGAGTGATGACGTGCTTAGTGAATACCTCAGGCAGCAGAAACCAGAGGAACAAGG